AGATTATTATACGATTAACGGACATATTTTAATAATGCATACCCAGTTCTAAATTACTATTGGTGCTACTTTTTGTTGAAGAACGAGAATTATTATGCGTTGACGTTGAACATGACGTTGAATATGATTTTTTCTCATCGTCCAAGCCAAATTCAGCAGGATTAAACTACCATGTATATCCATTAAATTTATTTTGAATGATTGTCTATAATAAATTTTTTTCTAAAAGATAATGACACATATATACTTACTCCTGGAATTTGCCCTGGTTTAAGTAAGTTCAACATATTATGTTCGATAGTTTTAGCATCTAGTGGATATTTTTCTGGTGGATATTTTTCTCCCCATTTTTTATGATTTTTGGTAAGTTTTCTGAGACTTTTATCTGGAATTATCTTCACTTTTCCTATCCGATATAAACCCCCAGAAAAAAAAACTTAAGATCTTTTTGTAACTATCTAATCAAGAGAAAAAAAAATTTTTTTTTTCCTATTCTAAAAAATCACCTGGAAGTTTATTAATATAAGGAAAATATGTGGGGTCCAATTCAACCCTCTTTTCTTTATACGGTCGAACGAATCGATCGTAAATGGCTGTTAAGTCAAAGTCGTTTAAATTTGGACCTATAGGTTCGCTCAAATCACTAGCTGTTCCTTGTGAAAGCGAAATATTACTGGTTGTTTCTATAAAGGTATGTAACATTAGAACGCTTTAAAGGATTTTTTGTAAACCACATTTACTTCACCTTGTGGCTTGATATAATAAAAAAAATTATTCAAATCTGAATTTTCCATTTACTTTTTTTTCGAGGACTCAATTTTGAGTCCAAAGGTTTATTATAATAAATATATATATTTTTTTTTTTAAAAAAAAAAAAAAAAACAAAAAAAAAAGAAAGAAATCTACTTAAGGGACACTGAAAAGACCTGGGCAAATAAAAAGTTGTGAGAAATGAAAACGCTTGTGGTACACTGTACCCAGAATTCATAATACGTTTGGATAATAATTCTGTAATTTCAATAATAATTCCTATGTAGTACAATTTGGCTGTTGCTTTGTGATACCATAAAAAGATATAAAATGCATCCTCATCAGTCCACATTACCGCATTCGTAAGAAAAAAAATGGTTAGGATTAAAAATAACTTTTGTTTTTAATCAATTAAAAATTTAAACAAAGTTACTTAATTAAACATGTAGTCTGTTACTTTACATACAGACTTGGGTGATCTCAAGATTGAAGTTTTTTGTGAAGCAGTTCCTAAAACGGCGGAGGTTTGTCATTTTAATTCATTTAAACAATTAATATACAAAAACTATATATATATTTCTTGTCTTTCATTCTCATTAATAAAAAAATTCTTTAACTTTAATATAGAATTTTTTAGCACTTTGCGCGAGTGGATATTATGATAATAATTTATTTCATAGGTATATGAATGGTTGATGTAAAATTGTAAGATTTATAAAATGTTATGTCTATTAATCTGATTTAAAATTTAAATTAACATTAGAAACATAAAAGGGTTTATGGTCCAGGTAATTCTATATGAATTCTATTATTTTGAAGAATATACGAAACATTTTAAAATATTGTTCTGATTTTATTAACTTTCTTGTCCTAATTAATGTAAGACCGGCGACCCGACGGGCACGGGCAAAGGCGGAAATTCAATTTGGGGAAGAAAATTTGCGGATGAAATTAAATCATCATTAAAGGTGATTATTTATCTAGATTTACATGTATTAAATTCTTAAAAGTTACTAAATTATTATAATTTTGTTCTCAGCATAACGCGCGAGGAGTTGTTTCCATGGCTAACAGTGGCCCGGATACTAACGGATCTCAATTTTTTATTACATACACAAAATTGCCACATCTTGATACAAAGTACACTGTATTTGGAAAGTATGTATATATAAATACAAAAATACCTTTTTTAGTCTTTAGTTAATCATTCATAATATTTACAATGTGCAAATTTCTAAGAGTAATCGATGGTTGCGACACAACATTGGATGCTATCGAAAAAGTTCCCGTCGATGAAAAAAATCGTCCTATTCAAGAAATACGAATTAAATCTATTACAATTCATGCAAATCCTTTGGCTGAACGTGATTAACTATATAAATTTATGAATTCATATACGTTAATTATTTTGAGCTCTTTATGGTTAAGTTAGCAGCAACTATTGATTTAAAATTTTAGAAAAATTTTAATCAATTAAATTAATTAATCGTAAATCATTTGATAATCCAGTTAACCAATAAAATTAATTAAAAACGTGTGAAAATGAATCTCAACTAAAGTTTACAAAAACTAGTCTAACTAATCGATTAGAAAAATTTTGTTGATTCGAGTATTTAGTAATTTTTATTTTTAATAATAAATTAAAAAAGTAATACTATGTAATCATGGCGATCACGTGATTAGGGTGTACTATTTTTTAAAACCCATTTTGAAATATACAAATTTCAATCTTTCTCTAGGTTAATAGCCTTACCAAATTTTCCATACAATAATTTTTTCAAATTTTCCATCTCGTTAGTTAAAGATCTCATTTCATTTCTGAGTTTACCTGACTCTTCTGATAAGAGCTCTTTCTCCTTTTTTGTACGCTGTATAGCGTCTTCTAAAGAAATTGAAATAAATGCATCACCTATCTTGTACCTTTATAAGTTACAATAAATAAAACTTATAATTTCAATTAATTGATATTGCGAGTAAAATATTATATAAGATAAGAAAAAAGATTAACCTGACAAGTTCACCTTCATCGCCTAGTAGTTCTTGTTGTTCTAATTCTTGTAATAGATCATCAAGATATTCATTTTCTTGCTTTAAGTTATAATGTATAAATTAGCCTATGAAAAAGTAGAAATTTGTTTAACATCTGAACGATCTATTTTTAACTACCTTCTTTTCCTCATATTTTTCTTCAATATCTGAGAATTTAACGTTCAATTTACTGAACGAATTTATATTTTGTTGATCTTCCCAAGTTACTTCAGCTTCAACTTCTTCGTCTTGATTAATCTAAAAAAAAAAAAAAATGAAATAAAATAATTATGATTAATATATTTTTTTTTTACGAGTATTTTCATAACTCACCATACGCATTGTTTGATGATGATAAAGATTAAAATGATATACGATATAATAAACAATTTTTAAAATTTCTTTTTGTATTACCTGTTAC